CCCCTTGAACACCCATTCCATTACCATTTGCAAAGCCACCCCCTTGAACAACCATTCCAATACCATTTGCAAAGCCACCTCCTTGAATACCCCCTCCGTTACCATTTCCAAAATTACCCCCTTGAACTCCCATTCCATTACCATTTGGAAAGCCACCACCTTGAACACCCCCTCCATTACCACCTCCGCTGCCATATCCTCCGCCATGGGGTCCACCCCCACCGTAATTAGTCCCGTATCCACCGCCATTGCCTCCTCCTCTGTGACCGCCCCCGTTCTGACCATTCCCACCGTATCCGTTTCCAACGTGGTCACTCCCTTCGTGAACACCTCCTCCGAGACCACCCCCGAATCCATCGCTGTGATCTCCCATATCGTGTTCAACTGTAATGTCACTCTCATCAAAGTTGTCTCCCGGGGTATAGCCGGCCCGGGCGACTTCTACTAGAAGAACAGCGGCCAGCACCTACGATGCAATGTGCAACAGAGAAACACCACAAATTAAACCTTTGGGTAAGCTGTGTTACTTAATCATTATGAGCAAGTGTACATTCAGTTAATTCAAGCTGTGTTTGCTCTTAGCAAACGTCAAAAACACATCGAGCATATCAGATAGAAGTATTTCATACATAGTGATTGACGCATTAACAAACGCGAAACGTTTATATCCATCTGGCACGTCATATGTATGCACTAGTAAACGTATAAGTACGCCTGTATGTATAATTGGTCGCCATATGTACCATCCTTAAAAACCTATTCAAGTTTTGAGAAAAAAAGAACAATAAAAGAACGTTTTTGTCCAAATGTGTTCGAAGCAACACTTTTGCAGAGAACTCACAAAGCACTTCATGATTTCTAGCCGTTGTTGTAAATCGCTGGTCTCGACAAGGGTTGAAGCTCGTTACACTGCTTATATAGCTTCTACCCTTTACCACCACCAAAGCCTTCCCCCTACCGCTCCATGGTACAACACACACACACACACGCTCGCCCACACACGCGCGCACATCCACACATGCACACAGACACACTCATAGACCATAAACCCGCACTTTCACATGCGCACAATGGTTACAAGAAGCCTTAAGCTACCGCATCGTCTCTCCTAAAAATGGGGAACGACAGCAACGGTACGCTTCTGCTTTGTGGTGCGGTGCGTGTGTATATTTGGGAAACGGACCGCTAGCAATAGGGGGTGCGGGAACTAGCAAAGTTCTCCAGCGACATTCACGGTCAAAAACACATCGCGTAGACCCGGAGGCAGGCAGATACGCACACGGGCATATGTCGATGGGCTTTCGCGAGTGAAGAGTCCGTTACCTGTACGCAGTGAACAGGCAGCGATAACACTGAAGAAAACATCGCCAAGCGAAGCTCTGCCAGAAAGAAGGATGCACGAGACACGAAATCGATAATCCGTCCATTCCAGCGCGGAAGCAACAATGGCGGATGGTTACAATTATAACACATGTAACCGGATAGATGCCGCAGACTGTCTGTGGTAAATATCGAAAACGAGTCAACAAGCAAAATAAGTGGCAATGGGCAAATCCGGTAGGTACACGAGCCACAAACCCCCACAATAACAACAACAACAACAATGATGATGATGATGATGATGAGAAATCGATGCGGGCAGGTAGAAACGGGGACAAGGTATTAGAAGGACCAGGGGGGTAGATCATGCGACTGTCCCGAACGGACTTCGTCAATGGCGGTCAGATATACGTGTGCTGCAGTGGCCGCCATTAGCGAACAACAAATTGAACAAAACGTGAAGCAAGCGACAGAAAAACATTAGCGGCAGTTGTAGACGAAATAAACAGAAAATGGCCGAATGATAATCTGCCAGCTGAAGGTCGTTACCAGGTAGGAATTTTAGGGGATGTAGGTGAAGCTTTTTGAAGATGGATAGACAAATCGCTCGCTACATTGCGGTGTGTGATAATAACCGGCCATTGATTATTACTGAGGCTTACGGCCTACGGTAGGACTAAATGCGATTTAGAGGTAAGCTATGTAACTGCTTTGTCGAGTACTACAGATAAATCATCAAAATTGTGCTCAACGAAAGTCCTGCCTAGTATTGAAGCTTCTAATACGTGTAAAATTGAACATTTCAGTCAACACACTTTGTTGATTGCATCAATGAGAATGGCATCAATGAGAACTTGTTGGTTCAATTCAGTTAATTCCGGTTAGATTGGCATCGCTTTCATGTTCATCTACGGCATTAGAGCTTTTTATGGAGAAACTATTTATGACAAATTGTAAGATTAGTATCAAACATGACTGACACAGCAAAGCTTCATTTAAGATATGGTCATTCAATAGAACGGAAGCATCCGCCTATTTATCGTCGACATTTAACGTCATGTTTGTGTTTATTGGAAAAGACCTAACTATTAGTTTTTGAGGATCCCAAAGATGTCTTGTGTGACCGATTGGTGAAGTTTTGGCGACCACATAACGGGCTATGTCTAAACAATAATTCTTATGATTAAATGAATTTGTCTTCAGCAGGTTTGTTGAATCGAAGGGAGGGATCGGTCTGCGTGAATCGATGCGGTGACAAAACAAGATACGACGCGAACATCCCATGTTCGGGTAGTCTTGAACTACCATAGCGGTGGATAAAAATGTTTGAGACACGTGTCGAACGTCGAGACGCATGCACATCCCACCTTAGACAATATATGTAACCCATACTTGCCGCGAAATAATGTCGAAAAAACTGTTGGCTTACTTTTAATAACTTTTAAACGTCATAACTTTTATGAATGAAAATAGCTGCGACTAGCTGATGCTAAAGCAGGTAATTTTAGCAGCGCTTCCAAAATATATTCGATACATAGTCTATGTTGATGGGTTCAAGCCAGAAATAACATTTGGCGGCTTCCCAAAACCGTACCCCTAAGATAAAACAAAACTATCTTGCTTACAAAAGATGGCCAAATCGATATAAATAAATAAATAACAAAAGTCCGATGCATACGTGAGTTACTGACCCCGGTTATAGATGTCCCGACTCTGAAAGTAGCTCGTAGGCTTGCACAGAAGAAAACAGTGTGCACCAGTACCGAATGACGAGTTACGATAGTATCCTAATAACGAATGATACGATTAAACGAACACGAAATTCAAGCTACTCACGAGCCAAACTAGATCCTAATAATAACATCTAGGTTTTATTTTTTTCATTATATTAGAAAAAGCAATAGATGCGTTTGTTCTAGTGATTGGCGCAATTTGCGTGTTTTTCAACTTTCTAACTATCTTAGTCTATTAATAAGATGGCTCAATGTGAAGCGAATATTAGAAGGCTTGTATGGTTTGCCAGTACTATAAACTATACTATCGGATGGGTAATAGCTGAAAACAAAAATTCATAGTTCTTGAAGCTTAGTCGTTCTTTGAGCTGTTTTAGAATGTCAACCAACAAAGAGGGAGTCACAGTCTTCCGCGATTACCATCGCAGTCCCTGTCATGCCCCTATTGGCTCTTATGTCTCGAGTTTTAAATTCGGTATCGCTTTTAGGTGTTCTGTCGCACGGCTGGCTTCCAGCAATAAATGAAGTATGTCTATGCCCAACTTCGAACCTCGACCATAACGTGCCCCTAGGATAAGCAAGAAAATACATTTCCCGACTAACCTATCACAGTTACATACCACTATTAGCCACCTGTATTGATATTGTAGTCTCTTGATGTAGGTAGATTTATATTGAAAGTAACAAGCAGGCTCAAGCGTATTGGTATGGCGGAAAGTTTTAGGTGATCTTGGCTCCCTCAAATCACAAACTAGGGCGACCCTTTTTTTAAGTCTGAATCGCAGGGAGCATTTTTGTCGACATACGTATTACTTTTTACGAATTATCCTAATTATGTTAGTTTGTGTTTAAAAAGTGGGTTTCTGATTAGATGAGCGATACTTAAATAGCGTTATGCTTTTTGCAATATGCTGCAAAATCAGGTCTAATTTGTTTTTCTGCATTGTAATGCCGAAGCGAACGAGAGATGGGTTTAAAGTGGTGGTCAATAAAAGCAATGGACATTCGAAGTCAAGAAAAGTTCTAGATATGTATAAGTCGGCAGACCAGCAATTAATCATATCCTGTGAAGTACTGAAACCATCTCAAAATTGGCGTACTAACAATCCACTATTAACAGCAATAATTAACATTTTCATAAACACGGATTAGTTAGTTGTTTTCTTCCTCGGAGCAAGAAAGGGCGGTTTTCCGCGGGGGGGGGGGGGGGCAATTTTTGTCGAAAAAAAAAATCGACGAACTATTAACATTTTTTTCTGCGACTCTTCTATAGGATACATGGTGATAGGCGATGCTATATTAGCATGACTTGGATCCTCGGGGCGCCACATTACGCTGGACTTACGAAAAAAAAAAACCAGTTAAAAGTTAACAAATGATACATTTAGCTAACTAACAGCCAATTATTAAATAATAAAAAAAAAAACACATTGTATATATCTTAAACGTTTGCCAAGTAATGTTTTCATCCTTAATCAAACTTTACAGCAATTCAGGGTTGTAGAAATAGTCAAAAAAACACTGTTTTTGAGGCCTTTTACAGCGGCGAATTCTGATGCTCGACGGCATTTATGAAACACAAAAGATGTGTGTGCAGACGTCGTAGAAGGATGCGCCGCTTACGCATGTCTCACAATAGGTGAAGTCACAGCTAACTTCAGCAAGGTTTGAACTATTCAACTTAAACAACTATTACTGTATTATGATTGTGTACTTCTCTGTTAAAAACATCTGTTCTGTCGCTAAAACAAACTGTTATGAAGTTTGCGATTCTAGTATTGTACCCTATAACTGGTTACAGTTCTCACCTGAAACTGATCAGAAGACTGATGACCTGTCAGAATATCAGGTACATCTCTTATACACAGACAAAAAATAAGTCTAATCGAAAAAAAAACATTTAGAAGACCTTAGCGTGAGTCGTTATTGACAGAACCGCCGTTAGCCTTAGCTGCACGCTTCAGACCAGACTCATGGCGCCATTATCATTCATTAGCTCTGAGGGATTTATTTCTTCGTCTAGAAGATCTAACACGTAGAAAATGTGGTGGAATAGCGCCGAAAATAAAATTGAGTAGTTGATTAGAGCCGCGCATGGTTCTTCTGAGGCGAATGCTACCCTTCACACTCGTACTCATATTCTGTAATCGAAATTATTTAACATTAGAGAAACACTACTTTAAGAAATCAAACCCATAACGAAATTGGCCTGAGCAAACGTCGGCGTAATTCAATGATCTATTTTAGGTAGCTATACAATTTCATAACTCCTTTACCATTGCACATAGATATATAGAAACACCAGGCGATGATTCGTGTAAACTTGTAAAGGGTAGATTATGTGATCCTATAGTACTGGTCATTGTGGCTTTAACTTAGCATACATGCCAGTTTACTGCTTAAGATCTAGACGTAAAGTTAGGTAAACTGTTATACACTGATACTATACAGAAAGATTACATACATAACAACAGTATTTTTTCGTATATGTCGAGCTAATCTTACATAATTTAGTGATGTGGACACGAGCACTTGACCCTTGAAGGTTATTCAACTTCTAACTCTGTCTACTAAAACTGCACGTAACTATCGGGCTATTTCCAGAAGAAGTTTTACGGAGTTCTAGAGTTTGATTTGTGTTCTATATTAGCATTATTGAAATGTCATTGTAAAAATGTCGCCTTTTTTTCGCCATTATACTACCTAACATCGTAATTGTCGTAATAATAATAACGTAAAAAATGACCCTCGCCGGTATGCGAATGAAGTTAGGCTGAATTTAGAATGAGGCGCTGAAACA